TGTATAATCTATGTATTCTTTGTTATTGAAATATTTTTCACATTACATAAACTGAGAACTTTATTGAATTCGGTTTCATATATTTAAGGAGTGTCAAACAACTAGTTTTAAACAACCGTCTTGTTTATTTGAAAAAGCGAAAAGAAACTATTTGTTTTCAATGTATTTTTGAGATGAATGGGGATTTTTAATTTAGAAGTAGTATTCATCATGGACTGACATCAGTTGGGGAACCATTGAAATTCTGGGAGCACTGGACGGCTGTTTCGTCCTAGTATGGGACTCCTCAGCAGTACTCACCCAGTGGCTGAAGGGTTAACGCGTTCGCCGTGAAACCTGAAGGTCCTGAGTTCGACCCTTAGCCGGATCGTGGGTGCCTACTGCTGAGGAGTTCCATACTAGGACGAAACAGCCGTCCAGTGCTCCCAGATTTTCAATGGTTCCCCAACTGATGTCAGTCCATGATGAATACTACTTCTATATTCGTTTTTAAATTATAAAAGGTTTCTTATGTCTACGTTATGAAAATCGTTTTTTTTTCTTATATTATGTATTCTGAGTAATATACTGTCCAGGATTTCTTTTTCGGTTGTCATCTAAAATAACAAAAACTTCAAATATTGTATTATTTGATATTAGGAGACTTTTTTTCTAAGGATTTTTTTTCCCATTTTAAAACAACATCGTTTTTACTCCTTGGGTGTAAAGCTGAAGAACCAACAAGGCTACATGTACGCATTTGACTGAATGAAGAGACGAAAGAAAACTTAAGTTTTTAAATTATTTTTTATTTTCTTGGCCATTTTCGATATAATGTATAATTTTATCATCGACATCAGTAGTCTGACTCTACCGGCTTTCAGATGGATATTAATTAACATAGGTAGGTGTCATTACCGTAAAATGGACTACATTTATCATGTCCCACATCAATGCATCAGTATTTAAGTTGTTGAAAAGCATAAGAAGAGAAGACAAAATGATAAAAAAGGTAGAAAAACGTGATAAAACAGGATGGAAATAAAGTGAGGTTTAGTTTTTGTATCAATGAGATTGGATCTAAAACACATCACCTACGATCTCATACCATCGATTTTGGCTGTCGTCCAGACTTCAAACTGGGAGTTTCTATTGTATCGTATTGTATCGTATTAAATTATTTATTTGATTTAGCACACAGTGATACAGTATTGTTTACTGGACGACTTTTTGAGCAGAATTTGTTGCTCATATTATATACTTGATAATATATATGAGATGACATCTTTTATATGCTATATCACAGTACCCAAGTTTTACTCATTCTAATGGAACTTACGGTCTCCTGTCAATAAATTCACACATCTTTCGCAGACCGAAGCTTGATACGCAAAGGTCGTATTTCTAAAATTCAAACTCCTCTTCCAATGGACAGAGTGAGAAAAGTAATGAAATAATTCAACAAACTACTTGGCACGGCCTACGTAACTCATGTCTCAGGTATCTGAGTCGATGATGGTTTACAGCCCCCATCAACTGACTTACCACTTCTTCCTAAAGATATGTGTCTGACCTCTACGTTACTGACATGGTGGTCTTGCACCACATAGACTATATTACGAAAGTGACAATGGTCGAATACCTGAGAACTTCTCATATCGTCTGCCCTTAATGGTCATGTTTCCCAGCCATAGAATAAGACGAGTCGGAGAGCAGTGCACTCAACCCGAAATAGGCAATGAGGTGTCATGCAGGCACCATAGATAGGGTAAACTAGTGAAAGCTAAGCAAGCCTTCTGTATCCATGCAGAGATTATGTCGGTCACTAACGCACTAGAGCTGATCTGACTTCCTAAGTAAGCGAAGTGGTGAATGCTTTCAAGTAAAGAGCTAACTCAGACTTGTCGTAAAGCAAATGTTTGCATTTCGAAGGGGAAGAACGCATCCCAAGCACACTTAGATTGTTGCTCAAAGTTTCTATAAGATTCTTGATTCCGTCACTATCGCCTAAAAGGACTATACTTTATTTGTACCCTTAAATCTGCAAAACAATCTTCCACGACAAGACCACATCTTGTTACTTTCCTATCTCTTGACATGTTAGTTCCGATTCTCCATTAAAACTCTCATAATTTATTACTCCGATTAGCGATTATAATTAGTATTAATATTGTTATTTTAACCCATTAATTATCACAATGACTGATTGTATCTTTTCTTTGTGCACCCTTCGATGATGTAATTTCTTCCTAACTCTTGGAACAACTTACCATTCCATTCTAGAACATCCGGTCTTAGTGATGTAATGTTGACCTACCTATTGACCAGTGATCAAATTACTATATATGCATATATATATATATATATATATATATATATATATATATATATATATATATATATATATATATATAGTCGTTTGATTGTCAATGCTTCTGCTACTTATTAGTAATGAATCCGCACCGCTTTTGAACCGTTTTGCTTGAATCTCGTTAAAAGACTGTGAGGAAGCGACATTACCGCAGTCGACCAAATGGTTTAAGATGCTTTATTAGGACGTCAGTTTACTCTTCAAAGACGTTCCACATAAACTACATTGAACTTAATACATAATCTAGCAGTCGGCGTTCCAGTTCAGCATCTAAAGAAGTTATTTATACCTATCTATTCCCAAGAATTTCTTTTTCGGTATTGTTGAATTCAAAGAGGACAGCGCAGAACTCCTGAAGAACTACCTTTCTAAACCAGTCAGAATTCCATCCTGCCGAACTGCTTACAGTTTTCTCTAGACGACAGTTGATTCAAGGAGGCGTAAAGGCGGAACTACCGCTTTGCGCCAAATCAGTATGCCTACTCTTGTGCAATTAGTCATGTAAGTCGCACGAATTGCAGTTCTTCGAAACCCACTTCTAAGTAGTAACATTCTCGGCTATTGAGAGGAGAACACAAGTCAAGTAACAGTTCTATATTTGACTATTCGATCAAATCTAGTCATGTCGCTTCCTATGGTTCCTTTTCGAAGTCTTATAGAGAGTCAATTCAAAGGGCTCAAAAAGAGTACAGATTCGTCACTTATGACTAGCTGAGATGTTGACAGTCCAACAATTAAAGTCCGAGCCTTATGTGCAGAAGAGGCATGTTCACTGTCTTACTTCGCTGTGGTCATAGTCTCCCTTTGAGTTTCTTCACTGTTTCTATATTCATTTTGTTCTTATTGACTGATTTTCGTTTCTACCTTATAGTTAACTTTCCTATGCCTCTAAATGTTAGCTCAAATTTCCTCTTTCTCGCAATATTTCACTCTGATTATTGATTATGTTTAGGATTATTTCTATTCCTTGTTAATCTACTAATCATCACTGTGACCGACTGCATATTTTCCGTATATACCCCACGATGATACAATCTCTTTATAACTTTAGGAACGACTCACTATTCCCTCCCCCCCAAGACATCCCGTTTTAATGACGTAATTTCGTCAAAAATGCTTTCATGAGAATTATTGGTGTTACTTATATTAGTTGTTAATTGGTTTGAGCAGAAATGATTGGTATGATATGTCAAATTATACCCGTCGAACTGGGAGCATTTGCCGTAGCTCAGTAGTTTATTGGATAGCGCTTCAGTGTCTCGCATAGGATTTCAGTCTCACTGAGAATGTCATCACTTACTGCGAGGCAAGCACATACCTCTGACGAGTTCCAGACAGGCCGAAACACGTGTTGTTGACTCCACTGCTAGTCATCACCTACCTTATCTTAATGTTAACGTTAATAAGATAATATTTCAATACTATTAAAGGATTGCTAAGGTAACTATGGGATTTAGACACTGTAGTAGAATGTAGTGCATATTAGATGTTTATTTAATATTGTGCAGAGTTATACTAAGTGACGTCTCATCATCGTACCACCCTGATGTAAGGCATCATTCAGTAAATTATACCATATCACCATATCATATCAAGTGGACTAAGCTAATATGGAATCATTGTTCAGACAGACTAACTCAAGTGAAATACTTTTTCACAGTGCGAAAACTACGAGTTGAGCCATTTATTCTGTTCTCCATTTACATGTGATCCGATCTGTTTGTCTACTTCAAATGCCAACACTTCATTCTCAGTTTCACTTTTTATGCTTACTCTTTAATAGATGTTTAAACGTTGAAACAAGTCAACTGATGATTTGTAGGGAATGATTGTTTTGATATTGGCATTCAGTTGTCGAATCATTGAAGATTTGAGAGAACTAGACTGCTGTTTCTTTTTTGATATGGAACTCCTCAGGAGTACTCACCCACTTCCCCATTTAGGGTTTGAGCTCAGAGTCCTCACTTCTCATAGCGAGCACTCAGTCACTCGGTTGCTATCTGTATTACAACTTCATGACTATTTTGTTAGGCGTGAGTTTTATTTTTCTTCGACTTTAATTGAAAGTAACGTGCAATGAACTGGGTTTTGATTGCTTGTCTTCTTTATATCTCTCTTGTATTTTATTTCTCACCTGGGATTTTAATAGTTGTAAGAAATAACTTACTTGTGTACAAATAGGGGAACAAGATTTTAAATTTACATTCCTTTCATTTGAGAAGATGACATTTTTACTTTTACTTCCTATTTTTTCAGCCTTTACCACGTCAAGTTATTCTTCATGGTTGCTTTGCTAAGCATTTGACAAATACACCGAAAGGTTTTACAGATACTCATCAGTGTCCTCTATGGATTCGTTTAGCTACAGATCATGGTTTAGCAGTATCTGTAGCACATGCCACATCGTCTGCTGCATTTAAAGCCTTTGCATCAAGTCAGTCACCACGTCGAAGTGAAAAACCGCCTAATTTTGATACATCATTCAGATTGGATGTAGACAGAAGTTTTTGTATTTTCCCTACCCATCACCTGGGCTTTGGTATCTTAGTTTGTATCCTGAGTGTTATACATCATATGAGTAAGTATTTTCGTTATCTTCATGATTTTATGTAGTGTACTGTATTAAGCATATTTATTTTTAACAAAACAGCTTCAATACTAGCCAAAGTAATAACTACAAGTTCGCGATCATTGATAGTATGCCCAATACTTTTGTTAAAAGACGAATCGGAAATTACTAGTTTGGTTTCGTGTGCTGCTGGGCACGTGAAGGTGGGTGGTACTTTCCAACCGTGCACACCTTGGAAGTTGTTTTTGCAAGGTACCTGAAAGGGAAATCTTTCATGACTTCAGAGTCCAAGGGACGTCTGCTTCAGAGCAATCACACAGCCTTTCCACGAGTTTCGGATTGAGATTTGATTTTACTAATGTCAGACAACAAAAAGCCATACCTTTCAGTAATGTAAGTATACTAAGCTCATTAATCTAGAGAAGTATTCAGTCATAACTGGGCATGCAATAACACATAACCACATAATAGGGTGGAACATGGTTCCAGCCCTGAAGACCAATGTAACTAAGTGGAGAGAGAGGTTGACCGTTAAATCTGTTCGTCAGTCCATTACTTACACATGTAATCAAAATGATGCAACACCAATTCCGGATAAGTTTTACTACCGGGTTAGTCGAGAAATGAAAAGCAACAGAAGTATAAAAACACCACCAGAAAGTTGTGTGATTACCTTGATATGCATATGAGCAGTAAATTTTGAGCAAAACGTCGTCTAATAAGTAATACTGTATCACTGTGTGCTGTATCAAATGAACTAATCTAATATAGACAAACCTGTCCAGCCGATTGTAGCCAATCTATACATGTACAAAGCAGAATCAGAACTATTTAGCTAATACGATGTAAAACCAAGAATATGGTGGAGGTACGTTGATGAAACCTTTGTAATGGCTAGAAAGCAAGGTCTAGAAAATCTTTGCGAGTATCTTAACAGTCATTCCAATTCCATAAAATTCACTTCCCGCCCCCTCCTAGACTTCAGGGGCATAGGAAACGATGGGATACTTAACATTGATGTCTGTCGAAAAAAATATACAGATTGTAACAAGTACCTTGACTTTGATTCAGCTCACCTATTGAAAAGTAAGTCAAACGTTGCCAAAAATCTGCTGACGCGATCACAAAGTATACCAAATAAAGTGGAATCTCAGCAAGCAGATCGACAACTTGTTCGGGAAGTCATAGAACAAAACAACTAGCTAATAAAAAGGCTAGAAAAAGTTTTCGAAAACAAAAACACGGAAAAAATAAGCCATAAAGATTAGATAAGTACTACCTTATCGGACATTCACATCAGAGGAAATAAGACGTATCCACATCAGAGTATTCTTGAAGCCGATTACCTATCTGGTACAACAGAACTGTGTTTATAATGTAAACTGTGGTGAATGCAATGTCACATACATTGGAGAGACACCACATCAAGTAGTAACATGTCTAATCGAACACGGTTGAAGTTGCAAGAAGCCACCAAAAAATTCCTATGATGTGGAAAACCGTCAAAAAAGTCCTGCCATCGCGGCTCATGTCTTAAATTCAGGTCATAAAATATCATTCGAAAAGGCGAAATTCTTGCAAAAAAGTTTTCTTTCTCACAAAGAACGGACCATTACAGAAGCTTTGCACATCTGTTCGTACCTTTCTTCCGTCAACAGAAAAAATGGGATAGACATCCCATAAACACGATAAATATTAAGGACTCGCATAGTCGGTTGCATGGAAATAATATATGAAGACAAGGTGGAACATAACTTGATTTCACACTGTTCCACATGATCTATTCCGAATTCGTTCATGTTTGAATAGTTTCCGGTGTTATTTCACTTAATCATCTTAATCACGTCAAGGCATATTGGTTGTATTTTAACAACTTATCCAATCCTATTATATAATACTTTATTGATCTACTATTTCCACCAATGTTACTCTTATTTCTGATATACATTCTACGAACCATTTTATGTACTATACAATGCATTTTGTTATCATTCATACTTCAACTGTTATGGAAGGTACCTTCATCGTTATCACTATTGTTAATTACTATATATTGTTTGATGTTCAAATATTCATCGTTCCGAAATAGTAATCTATAGTAATCTTTCTCACCCTTAATGACTCATAACTGGAAAAAGCCTCTCTGACTGATTTGCTAATTCACTCACTCACTCACTCACTCACCTACATTACATTGATATTTGTTCCATATCGTGATGTAATTGGATGATCATAAAGGTCATCTTCTGTACGAAAAGTTGAATATTAACCTGAAAATTTAATGTTAGATTAGTGTCATACTCTTGAAAATGATCTTCCTAGCAAGAATGAAACGTTGAAGAATAAAACAAACTATTTGTTTATTTTGTTATTTGTTCTTATATACTACGCCAGGATTACACTTATGAAAATACACCTTGTATAATCTTAGAAACGTGGTGCTCAAGGTTTTTCAAACTGTCTTATCCATTGTTAGTCAGGAAACGTTCTACTTTCCTTATCTGAATAATCGTGACGTTTGAAGATGGTTTCTGTAAGACAATGTTATCTTTTTTTTCAATCTTTTTGAGCTATAGTGTGACACCGATTTGTTGCCTGGTTTCCATGGAATGCATATGAAGTGTTTATGTCAAGATCTTGGTACTTTTTAGCTACTAAGGTCTTGAGATGTGTTTCGAAACTTGATGGATAGTTGTTTGGCTTATTCTGTATTGTCTACTGCATATGACAGATGTCAAATGATCTAGTAAACGTTAAACATAATTTACCAACAGTTACTGCCTTCTTGGATTTATAACCGTTGCTTGAATGCTTTTTATATGACTCTACTCTATGACATTTCTGATATATTATCCACTGAACTGGTTAGTCATAGAAGATAATTTGCTCAAGACTTTGATAATATTTTTTCATTACGATCGATCAAACTGAATGAAATCAAGATACTAGACTACAGTTCCGCTAACTGGATATGTTTCTGACAATATTTACCTTCAATAACCAGACAAGAATGCGAATACGAAATCAAAAAGACTATGGAATAAGAATAGATACTTATATACAACAATATCTTTAGGGTATCTGACATTCAAAGACTAAATATTCAATCACGAGTTAGGTTGGAGGCTAGCAGTCAGCCAATAGATCTTCACCAAGAAAATTGAGGTTTTACTTTTGTTCGCTATAGCATTAGGTAGCACTGGACAACTCTGCTTCACTACTGGGTTCGTTAGCACTGCAGCTGAAACCCTTACGTTTCTCAATAAACACACTTATCATCAGAGTGGTTTATTTCATTATACTGATTCAAAAGGCAACTCTTTTGAAAAAAAATCCTCCACTCAAGTTATCTTCAGTTTCACAACAGTCTTTTTTCTCCTACATCTTTGTTTGACTTCAAAAAGTTTGTGTCTATGTGTGTTTGTGCGTTTTTTTCCCTTTATTACTTGAGATTTCAAGCAATGTATCAATGTATCTCGTGGCTGAATTGAGGTTTATGTATTGAGTCTGTCTGTGTGTATGTTCATGTGTAGATACAACTAGGAGTGAAGTATTTGAATGGATATGAACTTCCCACTTCTTAAAAAAACATTACAGAATTTTTTTCCATGTAGCGAATGTTTTTAGCTTTCTCCTCTTCTTCTGCCTTTCTTTCCCCATGTCGTTTTTTTAGTCATAAAAACTAATTCGACCAAATTCGAGACACTTTAGACTCAACCCACACATTGTTACTATTTTTAATATACAGTATATTCCTATTGTCCTTAAATTATTCTGAGTTAATATTCAGTGATTCAACACTACGGAGTACCACAAACCTTAGTCAACCTCATTCAACAGCCACATGCCGAGTGATTCACAATGGGAAGCTTAGTGATGCCTTTGAAGTGAAGACAGCAGTAATACAAGGCTACCTACTATCACCGATGATCTTCCTGGCTTTGGTCGAATGGACTTGACTCGACTGGATCATACAACAAACTGTAAGGAGCAAGAACATGGGCAAATGCTGGCTAGACCGATGAAAAGACCCCAGAAGAAGATTTGGATTTCGCCGATAATGATTTATGTCTAATGCCTTGTCTCACAAACCCGAAGATCTACAGGCAAAAACCAACAAGTTGACAAAAGAGGCAGTGCAGAGGAAACGGGAGGTTAAGAAGATACCCAACCAACAACAACAAGCTCCAATCGCCATCAACGGGAGAAACTTAAAGGAAGTTGCCTCTTTCACCTACCTGTCTAGGCAGCATCGTTTCAACTACAGGCGGCACAGGCACAGATGAGAACGTCAAAGCCAGTATCGGAAAGACAGCAAGACCGGTTTTCATTAGTCTGAAAGTAGTGTGGAGATCTACTTCACTCAGCATAAAGCGTGAACAAGTTCTGGATTTTCAACAGTAATGTCAGTGAAGTAAGTCAATGCTTCTATGTGATGGTTGAGAGACTTGGCGTGTTACGAAAGCATTTCCAACAAACTGCAGACATACATCACATGAAGAGCTGCCGCCTAAGTTCACTGGATGGTGAAGATGGAGATCAGATGGATTACCAGAATAATAAGAATAAGCAAGAAGGAACTGTGTCTGGTTAGCAACGAACCAACCAAGAACCCATCGTCTAACAAATATGTAGAAGAAGGTGTAGATGGATGGGGTATACTCTGAGAAGACCATTTGGGGATATCACGCGCTAGGTCAAGTCGTCGAGTGGAACCCAAAGGGGAAACGATGAGTTGGGCGTCCCAGCTGAGGGTGACATGGAGGAGATCATGTGAGGGAGAAATGAAAGCTTGTTGGCAGTCATGGAGCCAGGTTAGAAGAAAAGACTGCAGAGAAGAGAGTGGAATGGCGACATGCTACTGAAGCTTTATGTTGCACTAGGAACTCAAGGGACAAATAACGATAATAATACTCAGTGATTCGAAATAGACTGAAAACCACATTATACTAAGCAGGCTACTGACTGACTTCAAGAGCTTTAAATAGTTCACTCCAGTCAAGGTAATATAAACACTCGTTGGACGTTTTACCAGTTTACTTCTAATCTGATCAGTGGCACCTGTGTAAATCATTTCAGCTTTTATAGCTGAAATTCTCCAACCACCTAAATTCCGGTTATCAGCTTGATCGGACTAGTCATACTTAGGATCTGATTGTTTGAATTTCTCGTCTATCTGAGCCGAACGAACCTCGATACACCGTTCTTCAGCTCATCCCTAAACCGGTAAGCTCTACTAATCGATGTGGACTACTCAAATCAACTAGTTTTCACATCATGAACTGTCTATTTTGCACACGGACACATTCAAGATCCATATAGAAATATGTTTTCTTGTATTCTGCATGCAAAACAACAGGTAGAGGTAGTATTCATTAAACTGTTGCCTACTGATTTCGTAATATTTTCATTATGGTCATCATTGTTTTTTTTTCGACAAAAACACAATGAAAGCGCATTTTGTGGATTGGACCAATCAGCGGTTATTGATGTTTCACTTATTATACGCTCAACGCCATGTGTAAATAATCGTTGCCGACAAATTGGTGAAGGTGCTTCACTTGCACCATCTCGTCTCTTATATCCAAATGAGTTTAAAGTAAGCTTTCTTTTTTTCTTGCTTTCAACTTTTGATGATGAAAATGTCTATATAAAGTCTTCCCCTGGACTACTTTTCTTTCACTTGTCGAAGTTTGCTTGGAATGCTGATATTGATGCACTAAAGAAATGACTAATTCATTTATTTGTTAACACACATATAGAGTCACTTATGTTGCTTTTTCTATTTCTTGTGAAGAAGTGCCTTCTATTTCTGTTTTTTTTTCTATTTTCGCATAACTGAACAGTGAATATACGTACAACTTTTCGCTTACAAATATCATACTTCACTTCAGCATGCTAGTGATAAGTGGATGGCAATAGAATGATATTGAATTTGAAAAAAAAGGAATGAGATAGTAGAAGGTATATGTCAACGAACGGTGAATGCTACTATGCCGTTATAATCAATGTTGAATCATATCACCAAGAGTATTCAACCAATAATCTTTGATACCTCGAGGGAATTACACACCAAAACATGGTTTAGAACGATCCTGGCTACTTTGAAGTGATGGTCAAACTTCCATATGATAGTGGCTCAGCGAGTTACGCTGGCTAGAATAATCGTTCCTTGAGGTCCTACTCTATGCCTAGAAGGTCTGTCAGATAATGGTAAGAAGAAATGGGAGTTACCGTCATAAAATAAGTAGCTGCATTATGATGACCATCTGAGGGTGAATTCGGGATCATAAGTGGCCGGGAGTGTAGCAGCGTTTTCTCGGACGATGAACAGAGCCGCATACTTACAAGGACCATGCTAATATTGTCTTCTTAATGAGAACCGGTTGATGGGTAGGTTAGTTAAAGTTCACCACAAGATAGCTCAATTCTCCATACCCTGCTATTTTCCATAGCACCTGGTATGGGATTTTGTTGTCTGGCGTTAGCATAATGAGACATCAGTCGAACAATCTTAAAAACTGTGTGTCACATAGGTCAAGCAGATATCCTATGAGCTCCGGTTACGCAAACCTATTCCCTTTTCTCCTCTAGGTGGCTTTTAGAAACAATTTTCATGCTATGGGCAGCCGTGAAGTACCAATCGCTCACACGCTTAAAGTTTTGTGCAAAACCCAATTAACGATAACCCTCTTTACCTTTATCTCCTCTTTTATCTTCACCTTTTGAGACCAAACATTAAGCCTCTTTAAAATTCCTCATCCAACAAGTATTGCTCATGATCTGCGCCAGGAAAACACTATTCTTAGTGACGTAGAATATTTGTTACGTGTTGTGATCTATCCTCTGAGCTAGATAGTTGAGGTGTGAAGCTTTCATGGTCTTTCTAGACAACATCATCAACATTAACGTCAATTTGAAATGAGCTCTCAGGGTTTCTCCGTGAGTGATTCATATTGAAGTTAGTACTGATAATGTTGTCTGTAAAGTCGATGAACGCTTCACAATTATAAATCATCTAGCTCACAGAACAGTATAATTGATGATTACGGATGTTCATTGTTGGAACTGGGAAAACCAACTTGGGGTTGACATTCAATAAAAGCCCAGATGATATGCTTACACAGCAATATTTGGAGAAGTTAATAACAGCAATTAAAAAACAATGTAGGGTACATTAAGAATACCGAAGGAAAGTCCTCAGAGAAAAGCTAATCGAAATTTCAAAAGCACTTACAACGGAGGAAATAAGCAACTTATCGAGACAACCACAGACAAAAGTGGAAGAACCTCTTCAGAAAGGACTGAATTACAATACAAGAGACCCCTCAGAATCAGAATTCTTCATTGAATCGGAATCGTGGCTAAAAACATAAGGAACAAGTAAAAAAACCAACAAGGAGTTTGGCAAACAACCGTGCCTCTGATCAGATAGAGAAAAGATTACACTCGGAAACAAGAAGTAATAAAAAGACTGAAAAACAGGGAAAACATTGCTATGCTGCTGACAGATAAAGGGTGCATCACTATAGTCATGGTCAAAGATTACTACATCAGGAGGACAGAGAATTAATTCATAGATTGAAATGTTTACCAACTACTTGAGACTAGCCCTATCCAAAAGTTTGACAATCAGATCACCAAAACTTTAAACAGACTCGTCTAAGCAAGATTGTTAGCAAAACAAGACCAATGGGGGATGAAGTTGAATAAACCGGTTCTTCCTCCACTTGACGGCATACCAAAACTACACAAGCCAGATATTCTTTTACGAACAATATTTTCACTTCCGAGGACTGCAGCCTGCAATCTGTTCGAAGAGCTTTAGAGGAAACTGAAATGCCTTGTGCAGTCATGTGAATATCCCATCAGACCACCGACAAAATTTTTGAATAGGATTAAATATAATCACATAAGCGACGGTGAACTAGTGATTTTATTTGACGTCACAGCATTATGCACATCAGTTAAAATATAAATGTTCAAGTATATTGTATGCCGCTCACACCACTGTGGTAGAAGGTCTGGAAGGAAATGTACCTGCAGATTGGAAGAAGAGTTACCTTGTCAAACTCCCGAAGAAGGGCGACCGAAGTCTTTGCAAGAACTAGCGTGGAACCATGCTCCTGTCCTCCCAAAGCAAAATATTGAGCCACATCATCCTGAAGAGACTAAAAGATGCGTTGGATTCAAAATTACGACCGGAACAGGCTGGTTTGCTTCAGGAAGAACAAATCATGTGCGGACTAAATTGCAACGCTTCGCATCATCATAGAACAAAGCATAGAATGGCAGTCAACTGGATCTCTACCTCAACTTCATCGACTTTGAAAAGGCCTTGGACAGCGTCGACCGAGAGGTAATTTGGCAACAGCTCCAACACCACGCTTTTAGTCCCACAAACCTTTATCAACATTCAACAACTATATGAAGACGCCACATACCAAGTAATTTGCAATGCGAAGCTCAGTGATACCGTTGAAGTGAAGACAGAAGTGAGACAAGGCTGTCTACTATCAACCATGATCTCCCTAATTGTGGTGGACTGGATCATGCAACAAACAGTGAGGAAAGAGAAAAGGGGGATACGCTGGACCGAGGAAAAGATCTTAGCAGATTTGGATTTCATCGATGATGATGATTTATGTCTGATGCCTTGTCGCACGAACTCGAAGATCTACAGGTAAAAACCAACAAGTTGACAAAAGAGGCAGTGCAGCGAAGACAGGACTTCCTTCAGGTGAACGTAGAGAAGACAGAGGTAGAGGTGATGAAGATACCCAACCAACAACACCATGAACAACAACAACAACAACAAGCTCCAATCGCCATCAACGGGAGAAACTTAAAGGAAGTTGCCTCTTTCACCTACCTGTCTAGGCAGCATCGTTTCAACTACAGGCGGCACAGGCACAGATGAGAACGTCAAAGCCAGTATCGGAAAGACAGCAAGACCGGTTTTCATTAGTCTGAAAGTAGTGTGGAGATCTACTTCACTCAGCATAAAGCGTGAACAAGTTCTGGATTTTCAACAGTAATGTCAGTGAAGTAAGTCAATGCTTCTATGTGATGGTTGAGAGACTTGGCGTGTTACGAAAAGCATTTCCAACAAACTGCAGACATACATCACATGAAGAGCTGCCGCCTAAGTTCACTGGATGGTGAAGATGGAGATCAGATGGATTACCAGAATAATAAGAATAAGCAAGAAGGAACTGTGTCTGGTTAGCAACGAACCAACCAAGAACCCATCGTCTAACAAATATGTAGAAGAAGGTGTAGATGGATGGGGTATACTCTGAGAAGACCATTTGGGGATATCACGCGCTAGGTCAAGTCGTCGAGTGGAACCCAAAGGGGAAACGATGAGTTGGGCGTCCCAGCTGAGGGTGACATGGAGGAGATCATGTGAGGGAGAAATGAAAGCTTGTTGGCAGTCATGGAGCCAGGTTAGAAGAAAGACTGCAGAGAAGAGAGTGGAATGGCGACATGCTACTGAAGCTTTATGTTGCGCTAAGAACTCAAGGGATGGATTAGAAAGCATTCGCAATTTCATGAACAAAGTTTTCAACGACATCAAATTCGCAGCTGAGAAGGAATCTAACGAAATTTCTGTATTTTTTAGTCGGTAGAACCAACACTGGAAATTGAAGATACACACGCTAAGCGAATCCTTAACTGCAGTAGTAACAAACCAACAAAGCATAAAACTAGTTATTGGCAAGCTTTATTCAAAAGAGCGAAGACAATACAGTCAGAAATTTCACGAAGAACCTGAGAAAATTATTTGGTTTCTGTTATACGGAAGAAAGGTTACCTAAACAAATTCATCAGATGTCTATCCAGTTCATCATGAACTCAAAGTCATCCATGGGAATCAGCAAGTGGATCACCCTGTGATACGTAAAAAAAATCAGTTCAGAGAATGTGACACAACCTAGACCACTCTTAGTCTCCTAAAACCCCGCTGTAGATTTCACATCGGAGCTTTCAACGTCCAAAGCCTATATTAAATAGGATAACATGGATCGCTTTCCAAAACTGTGGATTCTCGAAGTATGGACGTATACAGGATCTGTGTTAATTCACTTGACCTCACCCAGCCAATTTTTTTGAATCTGCAAAATCCACTTTGTGAGTTTCTGGAGATTCAGTGACCTAGCTTTCGTAGATGGATCATCGTATTATAAGCCATGGTTAGAGCTGATCGATGAATGATTGTCTCTGTTTCTGAATTGTACCTGTATAGACTCTAATCGTCCATTCGTATCGCAGGTGTATATATCTGGGCCTTAATTACACAGATTGCAGATACCAACAAAGGCTGTATGTTTTTGTCGATGTTGTGTTCTGTGCGCTGGATGATTTGATCGCAAAGCTTTCATTGTCATTTTAGACAACATCATCCGCACAAACTTCAGGGGACTTACAACATAAAAATTATCCTCATGAGCTAAAAATATTTCCCATCATCTCAAAAGCCTGTATGCGATCGATTGAACTATGAAAGCATCAAGTAGGTGTTTAGGCATGGTGTAGCTAAGCATTTATCTGAATGTGGCAGCGATTCTCATCCTGAGGAAGCCTGATGTGATATTC